GGTCTTGGGGCTGCAGCAAAGGTGCTTGGCAGGAGTAGAGAGCTCTCCGTGCTCTGCCATGATCGCCCATTAGGAGCAGCTGTTGGCGAAAAATTGCTGCCTGTGGGGCGCTCCTAACGGCAAGTCTCCCCGCCCTTCCCCCCATTTCGCATGTTTTAAGATAGGCCTAAATAGGGGGGGGGGGCTTTCATTTCATCTTATGCCTAGAAAACATGGTGGGTCTTCCTACTGGGGGAGGTCGTATTGTTGGAGAAACACGGTAGCTAGGCAGTATGCAGCAGGTGTCACGGAGGGTGGGCAAGCGGCCAATGCCTGGTTGCAGAGGACAGGAAGGATGTGCAGATTGGGGGGCAACCATGCAACATGACGTTCCCTGCTGGATTCCCCACCGATTTTCTCCCTGCAAGCTGTGGGAGTGTTGTGGCCGAGTTGGTGCAAGCTCTCCACAAGTTGGAGGAAGGGAGGAGATCAAGATGACCAAGGAACAAACACGCAGCAGTTCTGGGGGTTAATTGATGTCAGGGTCAAGAACTTTTGTAAACTATTTCAAAACTGACACTTTGCAAAAGGGAAATAAGTTTTTAGACATTTTAATTATTTAACAAAAAAAATCATGGACAAAAGAGACTGGCATCATAGTGTGTATCAAAGCTGCTCCTATGATTGAAGCTTTTTCCACACTCCTTGCATTTAAATGATTGATCTCTTGAGTGGATGCTTAGATGTATTTTAAGATTTCCATTTGTTTTGAAGGATTTTTCACATTCCAGGCACTGATATTCTTTCCTCCCTCCTGGATCCTTTGGGGCCTACTGGGTGTTCCAAAGTACTCTACACCCTTTAAGCATTGATTCAAATGGATCTTTTGATGTCTATGAAGGCTTCCACTCCTACTGAAGGTCTTTCCACACACCAGGCATTTATATGGTTTCTCTCCTGTGTGGATCTTTTGATGTCTATAAAGGCTTCCCCTCTCACCGAACCTCTTTCCACACTCCAGGCATTTGTGAGGTTTCTGTCCTGAGTGCATCCTTAGGTGCCTTTGAAGATTTGAATTTGTTTTGAAGCGTTTTTCGCATTCCGGGCATTCGTGTTTCTTCTCTGCTGTGTGGATGCTTAGATGGCTTTTAAGATGTCCGTTTCTTTTGAAGGATTTTTCGCATTCCGGGCACTGAAATCTCTTTTCTCCCTCCTGGATCCTTCGGGGTCTCCTGGGTCTTCTGAAGGACTCTCCGCCCTCCAGGCATTTATTCAAATGGACCTTTTGATGTCTATGTAGGTTTCCACTCGTATTGAAGCTCTTTCCACACTCCAGACATTTGTAACGTTTCTCTCCTGTGTGGATTCTTTGGTGTGTGTAAAGGTTGCTGCTATATCTGAAGCTCTTTCCACATTCCAGGCATTTATAAGGTTTCTCTCCTGTGTGGATTCTTTGGTGCGTGTAAAGGTTGCTGCTATATCTGAAGCTCTTTCCACATTCCAGGCATTTATGTGGTTTCTCTCCTGTGTGGATTATTTGGTGCGTGTAAAGGTTGCTGTTATATCTGAAGTTCTTTCCACATTCCAGGCATTTATAAGGTTTCTCTCCTGTGTGGATCTTTTGATGTCTATAAAGGCTTCCCCTCTCATTGAACCTCTTTCCACACTCCAGGCATTTATGAGGTTTCTGTCCTGAGTGGATCCTTAGATGCACTTTAAGCTGTCCATTTCTTTTGAAGGATTTTTTGCATTCTGGGCACGGAAATCT